CACTGCTCTAATAGTTTATGCTGGAAAAAAGGAACTTGAATTGTGTAACCGGTTTGAATGGGCTTCAGATCGTATGCCCAGGAATGGCTCACATTTTTTCTGGCATTACTGTTTATTCACCATACTGAGCACAGCCCCATCCTGCTTGAGAACAACAACACACATCTAACTATTTCAAAGAGAAAATCTCCCTGGAAATGCATCATTCTGTCCTTGCAAATTGCTAACTGGATTTTTATAACAGGTATTATAAAGATGTTAGTGGGAGTTTATGTAGAGATTCCAGTGGCTGACTTGTGAATATGTTGAGAGGGGAGCAGGAGAAAGAGCAAAGGGTAGAAAAGAGGGGAGGAGAATTAGATACGAGGCAGGGAAGAGAGGTAAATGCAAAAGGACAGATTAAATTTATAAAGCTTTCAATGGCAAACTTTTCTCCCTTATAGTCTACAAGCTTCCTGATTTAGGAGGACAGGACATAACATTGCATTATTACATCCAGCCCCTAGTCATCACAGGTAACTGCGCTACGTTTACCTAAACATACGTGACCCCAGTGGGTCTGCCTCACTTTAACTGAGGACTTATCACTAATCGAGGCTTTTGAAGGAAGTGTACACCCAGAATGAAAGCCAGGGGGAAGTGGAGACACTCAGCATGTTGAAAAGATAAGTTTGAACGTAAGATGGGACTGTGTAGCCATTCCTGATGTCTCTGAGGACTTTGTCCTGTGGGTGGGCTTATGGGAAAGTTGGTGAGATGACATCTGCAGTGTCAATTCAGCACTGACAAAACAATCGATGGCATAATAATGATATCTGAATAGTGATTATCTAGTACAGACTTAAACTAATGAAATTGCGTGGATAGAATGAGGGGAAGATACTTTCAGATTTTCAGAAGTAAGCCTTTTAAAACTTGGTTAAATAAATGCTATGCATGTTTTGTTAAAAAACCCAGACCGACACATAGGCAAAAGCATTACATTTTAGATAATAAACCATAAGAAGTGATGGAAAAGACTCGATTTTGGGAGATATCTAAGATAATCCAAGTACTGAGTGGTACTATTTATCAACTGTTTGGTTTGGTGCTATTCATCAACTAGTGAATGCAAATGAAAATAGTGTAAAAATGCTCTGATTATGAGTTTCCTCAGTTCTCAAATCTTTCGTTTGTTGTCGTAGCACGGATTAGAAGAAAATCATAGTTTTTTGAAAAAGTCCACCCCCACCCCCCCCAGGTATTGTGATTTTTTCTTGCTTCCCTTGTGAAGAATTAGGCTTCTGATATTCATTTTTGTAAGAGCACCAAAAGTACCTCTGTTCTGTCAGTAGCTGCCAAAGCTCTCATCACCCCCCTCATCACCTTGCTGAATAGTCCTTAAAGGCAGCAGTGTCATGTGCACCAGTGTGACTTCTGTATTATACAAATGTACAGGTAATATGAGAATATTATAGACCTGAAGGGTTAAGCATATACGTAATGGTCCTATGGGCCAAATTAATCCTAAAGGCTTCTGTTCAGGATGTACAGGCTGTGGAGGCTACATGTGCTCCAGGAAGTTGTAGGTTGTGTTTGAGGTGAGGTAGAACACTACCATATAGCGTAAGTGCTGCCATGGTGTCCTGGTTTTGGCTATGATAGAGTTAATTTTCTTCTTGGTAGCTGGTACAGTGCTGTGTTTTGGATTCAGTATGGGAATAATGTTGATTACACACTGATGTTTTTAGTTGTTGCTGAGCAGTGCTTACACTAAATCAAGGACTTGTCAGCTTCTCATGCCCTGCCAGTGTGTAGCCTGGGGGCACAAGGAGTTGAGATGGGACACAGCTGGGACAGCTGACCCTAACTAAGCCAAGGGATGTTCCATACCATGTGGCATCATGCTCAGTAAAAGCTGGCTGAGGGCCACTGCTTGGGAATTGACTGGGCATCAGACTGTAAGAGGGGAGCAACTGCATTGTGCATCACTAATCCTATTATTATTATTACCACTCTTATTATTTTCTCCCTTCTCTATCCGAATAAACTGTCTTTATCTCAACCCAGGAGTTTTTTGCACTTCTACCCTTCTAATCCTCTTTCCCATCCCGCTGTGGAGTAGGGGCAGTGAGCGAGCAGCCCTGTGGTGCTTAGTTGCTGGCTGGGGTTAAACCACGACACATGGAAAAATGAGTAAAGTCGTATGGTGAAAAGAAAATACATCTGCCTGGGAAATTTGCCATAGCATGGGGAAAAAAGTCAAAGTTGACTTTAACTGAAACAAGATCCAGTGGGGAAGCTGTTTAGGCCAATTTCAGATGCTGTAACTTGGCTGCTTTCACGCCACTACTGGCCAGCTCTGTCACATTACTATTCAAAATATTTTCAAGACTGTGGCTTGTTGAATTGGGTCCTGGAGTGCAGCCAGGTGGTCTGGATCAATGGGAAAGGGCAGCAGTACAAGAAAAAGAGTCATGGAGTATGGGGATAGAGATGGATATGGCCCTTTGCCTGCGTGCCATCCATCTTGGGCAGAACAATGGAGTGGGAATATCTGCTCCTTTGCTAAGATGTGTTTTGTCTCTCATAGAGAGTCACAGGCTCTTTGCAAGGTCTGCCAAACCAGCCTCACTTTATGTGTAACGGGGTGTTGTACACTGTTGAACTAAGAGGAACATGTCTCCCCAGGCTTTGCATTGCTCTTGCACCTGGTTATAAGCCCTCAAAAATAAATAAATCAGCACCCCAAAGACAAAGCCTTAATCATGGTGATTTGCACCATGTTCTAGAGGTCCAAACCCTCCAGTGCTGTCATTCAGTGTTTGCCATTGAAAACTTCTCACTCCTCCACCAGGCACACACAGAGGCTGTTGTTTATACAAAGCCTTTTTATAAAGAGTTCCTAGAAATGCGCCAGTAGCTTAAGTTGCACTGGGAGATTCCTGAGGCTGGGGTGGAATTTGATGTGGTTGTTCTGAAACATACACAGTTGGTCATTTTGCACCAGTGAAAGCTTCCTGAAGCCTTGCAGTTCTTGTCCAGTGTGTTTTGAAGATAGCATATCATTAAGGATACAGGGCATGCCCACATACAACGTATTGCCACGTACCAGGGGACTGAGGAAAAAAGCAAATCTCTTCATCTTCCGAAGAATACAACAGGAGGTCAAGGAGTAGCTGTAATGGCAAGCTGTATGCAAGACAGTGAGCAGGGTGTTTCCTGAAAGATGCTCCTTGAGTTTCACTTCCATCTTCGCATCATTGCTGTTGTTGGCCACATCCAGTTGCTGTCCTTGTTAGGTACAGGGAAAGCTAAGCTTCACTTTGAAGATACAGTAAGAAGTTTGGAGGTACAGGTGTTTGTTTTGCTCAAAATTAATTTGAAGAGGTGTAGAAGTAAAGGAACAAACTAAGTACCAGCCCTTGTTTCTTCACTGGCACATCCTGGTACCTCTCTGAGATGTTTGCAATGTATCTCAGCCAGCTGATGAAAGACTAGATTAGACCATCTGAGACTATTGACCTTTAAAACTGAGCCCTTAACAAGAGAGTTTTTCTTCTGAATTTAACATGCTTTCGTCAAAGTATTATTAAGTATGGGTTTGGTTGCTTTATTTTTTCATTTTAGAGGTTACATGAATTGTATCCAAATTAATGGTGTTTGATTATGATGACATACAGTAAATAAAACTGAATGTTAAGAAAGCTATCATATACTAACCTGTAATAGGTAAGAAAGCTGCTATGATTCCTTTTTTTTAGATGGGAGATTCAGATTTTTTTCTCCACTCATCTTCTGTCACTTGATATCCTTATCTGTAAACCCAGTGTTAGAAGATAGTTTGAGATACATACGGATATAAGGGGAGGGAGGACTGCACTTATCCTCAGGTTCACTTCCCAGAATGAAGAACTTACATGGAAGAGATAGTTGGTTTGGAGAACCCCACAGTACAGCTACTTCAAACAACACAGGCCACAAGCTGTCTTTTAGCAAATGATGCATAAAACCTGTTGCTGAAGACTTTAAGCCACTGTTATAAGGTACTGCAGGAAGAGTAGGGGATGCAAATGTGGGAAGGGCATCACCAGTGCCTTGGGTTTCTGTGCCACTGAAGGACTGGTTAAATAAAAGTTGCAAGTGATGGAAGGAAAGAAGGAAACAAAGCATGTCCCATGCTATAGAGAGCTATGGGGTGTGTTGGAGGGATTTGACCTGGGTGGGAAATACCTTTCTATTTCTAAATCAAGTGAGTTTTGAGGAGGTTCCCATCTTCCAGCAACTGAGAAATTGATACTGATAGAAGCTCCTACAGATCCTGCTTACGTATTGTATCTAACCACTTCTAAGAGAAAGGTATCAGAGCAAGGCAGCTACACCAACCACACCAACCCCTTCACTGGGTGGTCAGTGAAGCCAAGTTACAAAAACCTTACCTACTGTATATGGTCCTATGTTGCAGGTTTTTAAATACATAATAGTGAACCAAAGCCAATCCAGTCTCTCAGCCATCCTTGAAAATACCAATTAATCAGTTACCCAAGGGCTCATACTGCAGTTTAATTGAGATTAATTATTTTATATATGTTTCTTTAGACTACTGTGACCCTTGAGTGGCTGGTGAATTCTTAGTAGCTCCTCCTTTCTGTTCAGACTAAGCTCTTGAAGGCAGGGACTCTTTATGGCTGTTTGCATATCATATCCGGAAGACCTGTATGCAGGGGTCAGAAATTCGTAAGCATTACTGGAATTCAATATTGGATAAAAAAAGACATTTAAAAATATTACTAAAAAGGTTTACAGGAAACAGTGATTTCTAGTCTTAGCAGCAGTTTTGTGTGAATATATAGATTGTATTCCCTATAGCTTTGTTCTCTGGTAAATATCGCTGGAGAAGAGAATTCACTGATATTGCTGCTTGCTTGCTTGTGGCCTGTGCTTAGAATGCAGAGTCACAGTCTGGGTTTGTTGGTTGTTTTTTTTTTTTCTTTTCCTCTTATTTTTCTTTATCCTGACAGAAAGATTTCGGGATTTACTGCTCCTACATTCCAATCAAGATACAGAGATTCTGCCCATCTTTCAGCAGAGGCGCTATCCCAAGTAAGTAAGATTGTCTTCTTGGGAGAAATACATTCTTTATCTATTTGTGGCAAGGGAGACTGAAGCATTTATAGCACTGTACATGCTTTTGGTGTGAAGTCCTACAGCAGAGCTGTCAGGGAGCAGCCACACTTGCACTGAGCTTTGCAGTCTTTCAGTGGTGTCAGGGAGAAGCAGACGTGCTTTGCAAGTGTGCCCAGCTGTCAGCGGGGAGGTGGTGGTGGCAGAGTGCAGACATTAAGCTGCCTGGATCAGTGTCTGGTGGAACTTTGTTTCACTTGGCACTATGTTGACATAGGCAGATGTTTTGTCAGGCTAATCCCCACACTTGTCTTGTGGGATTCCATCATTTAGGGTGACAGATTCCCGTGGGTTTTAAAAGGCTCCCCTATGGAAGCCTACAAGCAGTAGAAAACATTTCTTTTCCTGCCCTTCTTAGGGTTATAGATACAGGCAAACCAAAAAAGAAATGCTCTCTGTTTAGGAGGTCTTGCATGTATAGAGTATCCTGGACAAAACCTCTTATTCTCCCAAGTGACATACCTGAATGAAACAATTAATACTCCTTGTTATATTGGTTAAAAGAAACAGTCACTTTCAGCTAAGTCCTGAGAAGAGGCATTGAAGGGGGGAGAAGGTGAAGATGACAAAGAGCTGGTCCTCACATTAATGGTGACCAGAGTGAGCAATGAAAGAAGGATAGTGCAGGATGGACATAGGGAGGAGAAGGAAGAATGAAAGTCTGGCGCTAATCCAGCAATGATAATGGAAATTATGGAAGTTATTTATTTTAGTGATTATTTCCTGATATACATATGAAGCCAGTGGAGCTAAGTGTTAAATACAGCTCTTAAAATCTAATCATATGAATTTTCTGAAGAGCAGGTAACAAATAGAGGGGCTGAATGCTGAAAACCAGTCACCTCCTCACTGTGAATTCCTGAAAATAAAAGCAGTCAAGGATGAAATCCTGATTCTTAAAATGGTGAAATTATTCATTGACAAAATTTCAAAGGGGAGGTAGGATTTTCCTGAATAAATCCCCCTGAATTTATTGTTTGCATTATCCATTGACACTGTTTTACTGGAATACTATGAACGTACGATATATGAAACTGTGGGGGACACCTAGGAGGATGGACTGGTCTACTTGTCTCACTAGTACTATTAAATCTCCTCACCCTTCAGAGCACTGGAACAGTTATTTTGCCATGGCAGCAGAACACTTTGCTTGGCTTAGATGTTTTCATTTGTGGTATAGACATTGTCAAACTGGACTGAGAAACTAGTTTATCATGCTTCCTCAACGAACAGACTTATTTCTATATAAATCATTTCTGAGGTGTCTGACTTTCCATTTCTTTACATTCAATTTATTACTAGCATTCTTGGCAAGTACAGCCTACTAGCAGTATTGCACATTGTCAGACCCATGGGTGAATGAGTGCCTATTGCCCTTTGTTCAATGGATGCTTCAGGTCTTTGAAGACCATACAAAAATAGCTTATATTGTGGAGCTCTACTTCTATTAGAAGTTACAGTGGCCTTGCATCCCAAAATGGTACATGTTTTCAGATATATTACTTGGTGCGATTCACTGATTCCTCTAATACACAGTATCAGCCAAACTTTGGCACCTAACTGAAAGAGAAGTTTGCATATCTTCTAAAAGCAATAGATTTCTGCTCATAGCATCACTGATTGGTGCAAATTTGCTTGCTTGTTACAGAAATTTATCATGCGTTATAGTTCACTTAGAAGCTGGTTGAAGACTATTGACAGGTCCTAGGTTCCCTAGGTGTTGTCTTTCAAGTGAAATATTTGTGTTCAGCAAGGCAGAAAACCTGCTTATCTTCATAATATATTTTGTCTTATTCCCATGTCAGTTTTTGTCCCTTGCCTATGCTCATTTTCATTGAAAGGTCACTTAACAGAAATGAAGGTAATGAACAGACAGATCTTATAAATCAGGGTCCCTTCATTGACTTCATCTGAGCAGTGGTCGGTTGTACTACATGAGGACCTGAGAAGTAAGGCTATTTTAATGAGACATCGTCATGGGGCACCAGGTGGAACTTGTAATGCTTAAAAAAAACCTAAGAATATGGAAGGTAAAAAATAGAAGTTTAGTAATGACTTAGCTGAATAGCTTGACTATGCAGGGCTTAGTAAGTAGAAAAGACAGAAGTTTGCACGTATTAAAGAGACATATCCAAAGGGTGGAGATTGGATAGGAAGATGTTCTGCATTTCTCATTCAGAGTCATAGTAATAAAGGCTAAATGAGCAAACTGTAATCCATCAATTTTTGAAAGAAATAGAAACCTTGATGTTCTGGCCTGTTTGTGTACATTTACTATATTACAACCTGAACTCTTTCCCAGGGAACAGAAGGATAACATTGAGGATGTGATTGTTCTCAGAGATGATGTCTGAGCAATGGAATGGCTGGAAGACATTTTCTCGAATATGCATGCATGTTGCTCTGGATTTGCTGGGGTAAATGTGTCAAAGAAACATGCTTTTTACTCCTGGTTTATGGAGAAATGCAGGGTCTTTTATGTGTTTCCCTGGGTTTATTCAGCTGGTCTTGGCTTAGCCAAGGAGCAAATACCTACTCTGGCACATGGAGGAGATTATAGAGAGCTGAGTTTACAAAGACTAAGGTTTGTAAAGCCACATGGCACTTCACCTTGAATTCTTTAACTTAGTACTGTGTGTCCACAAATAGCATGGCATCATGAGCATCATCTTTCATTATGGCCTGTGGACTGAGATGCAGTCCTATGCACATTGGTACAGCATCCAGCCAGCCAGCCCAACCTGTGGTATACATCCTCTAACTTTTCTTTACAAGGCTGCAGAGCAGACGGAGCTTGCTTTTTCTTGCACTTCACTCACATCACAGCATAACTCTGTCATGGAACACTTATAGTTCTTGGGGAAGAAATACAGAATTATGTTCTCCTGTAAATGCCTATAGTAGTTTCATCATGAAACATATTACACTGCACATAGTTACAGGTTACTGAACTAGCAAGACCAGTGACTGTCAGAGGACGAAATGCATGGTTCAGAAACCAGACATCACTAGACCCCCCACATCCACCTCATTAGGAAACCCACCCATCCACAGAGATAAATGCTGTGAGGAGAAAATCTGTCTGCTAGCTGACATGATGCCATCACCATGTCCATGAGTATTCGCATTCCTAAAACTAAGAATAAACCTGCAGCTGTGGGCAGCCAGATGGGTTGCGGCACATAGCTGCCTCCAAGTGTACCCGTGTGGGAAGAGCCTCTGCATGTGAACCGAATCACAGACAGACTTACCACTTGTCCCTTGTCTCCCTCTGTCCGTGAGCATGCTGAAGTCACCAAGGTGAGTTACCCCAACACAACCAGGCCTGTCAACAAACTAAACTTGTTGCAGTGAGTCTTATCCCAACTCATTGCTTTGACAATGATCATTGTAGCTTCTATATCTCATAAAAAACACTTCAAGATTTCACTCTTAGCACATTTCTGCAGGAGCTTTTCTCATGCTGGTGTCAAGCTTGTGCTATCCTTGGTTGCCCACTTCATTGATGACATTCCTGATGGATATGATATTTATCATATCCATCATATATATGATATTTTATCACATGGATTCGCTCATAAAACGCAATAACTACTGCAGTGCTGACACAAGCTACAGAGGATTGCTCCTGAACAAGACACTATTATAGTCATTAATTGGGCTTGAGGGTCCAGCACGTGACAGGGTGGTTGGTGTTAGCAGCAGGGGCGCAGGTTGCTCTGTCCCACCAAGGTTGTTTTGATCTTTTCCTGCTGACTCCACGCCACTCCTGACTTCCCGTGCTGTGTGTACAAGGGAAGGATGCGCAATCGCCTTGTAACACCAGAGAAGCGTCTTTTGGGCCTGATAATGTCAAACATTAAAATTAAAATTTACATATATATATATATAAAAAGAAAAAGGAAATAGCAGAAGTGATAAGAGAAGTGAGAAATTAGGTTGGTGGGTGAAAAAGGCAGGAGGGAGGCTGACACTGCACAAAACAGCACTTGAGAGGGATGTGCCAGAAATGCTGCTGGCGTTACAGCTTTTTAGCAAATTTCTCTGTATACAAGTGACTTGACAGTTCAGCTGTACTTTCTATTTTTGAGATATTAATGAAATGCTCAAATACACATGTGGGTTTCTGAAAGGGATTATTTGCTTCTTTTTTTTCCCCCCTTCAGAAATATTTTCAGTCTTCATTCTTATCTTCTGTGGGTTTGGTGGAAAAGTTCTTGGATGATTCACAGATTTTAAGAACAGAAGGAGCTGTTATGTTCCGGCTAATTTGAGTCCCTTCTTAACATAAGCCGTAGAGCATTACCGATAATCCCTGCAGCAAGCTTCTGGTTCAAGCGGATCATGAATTTAGAAAGACATCCAGTCTTTAAATTGAGATGTTAAAAACTGGAATATTCACAAGCCTTTAGATCAGCTTGTTCCACTTGTCGATTACTTCACATATGTATGACATTAATTTCTTTAACTTCAATTTCCAGTCTCTGCCATCTCACTGTACCATTTGCTGCTAGACAAGAAAGTCCTGTACCATCTGAAATGACAGATCCGTGCAAGAGTCTGGAGGTGATTTAAAAACTTACCCTTCTGTTAGACAAATAAATAAAACTTTTTTGCAGGCTAAGGTTTACTTAAAAAGTGTCTCTCAAATCATTTAGGGTTTTGTTTTTAAAACCTTTCCAAAGTTTTTTTTTTTTTCACTTTTATTTCTATTTCTATTTTTATTTTTTAAGCATGGGCAGGAATTACAAAAGTGTTTTGGTTACTGTTTCCATAATGGGCATATAGAGAAATAACAGCACTTTTTTGTTGTCAAATAGAAAGACAATGTAAATTGAGTACTTTAGTATTATTTAAATGAAGTGACAAGGTGTTGAACTTGGGATACAAAAAGTTGAACTTAGAACCTGGCAGGTATA